CCTGCGACGAGCGAGAGGCGAGACTTGTGCTGACGGTAGTGTGTCTGGCTGCGTAGGAGGTGAGTGGACCTTTCTTACTCTCAGGCTAGTAATATACTCATACTATCTTAGTCTCCTCCTACTAGCCCTACTAATGACAGTACCTTTGCCACCCAATTCGCCGCCAACCTATCCGAGCCAGGGCTTCCAGAAGTGCTTTGCTGCGATCGATGTACCTCTATTCTTAACACCGCGTCCCCCATCAGCCTCTCTGATATCTCCCTAACCTGTGGAATTTGTCGTCTGCTTCGTTATGCGGCTAGTAAACACGAAAAGGAGACGTTAGACCTCCGTCTTGTTCGGGAGGGGTCGTGGCTGTGTATCGCACCAGATGGACCTCGCGTCGTTCAGCTGTACTCTTTCCCAGGTTAGTATGCGCAGCCTACACGCGCTTAGCTGATGCACTGCTAATCTTCTACATCTGAAGGGACGCAGACCCTTGAAGACACCCAGATCGGTCTGCCCGTCCCACTCCAGTTTGAAGAGCTTGCTTATACTGAGCTGCTCAAAACGTGGCTTCATTCGTGCGATAACAACCACAAGCAGTGCAGACCTAGGGATAATACTCTCCAGACAGCACTGCCAACTCGACTTATCGACGTCGGCAGCGTCAAACATCCAAAGCTACGACTGTGCACGACAGTACTAGAAAACAGTTGCAAATACGCCGCGCTGTCCTATTGCTGGGGGAAACTAACTGAGAACGACAAAGCTAGATTCTGCACGACAAATGACAACCATGATGCACGAACAAAAGAAGGGTTTAATGAGTCTGACCTGCCACAGACACATCAAGATGCAATCTGGATGTGCCGAAACCTAGGCATCGAATATCTCTGGATCGACTCGCACTGCATCATTCAGCTCGGCGACAACGGCGACGACTGGGAGCGCGAAGCAAAGCTCATGGAAAACGTATACTCATCGGCCTACTGCGTTTTTGCCGTCACCTCAGCTACTAGTGCTCATGAAGGCTTCCTAGGCCGGGGAAGCGAGCCTGAAAGCGAGCCTGAAAGAGAGCCTGAGTGTGTTTATGCGCGCGACCACTCCGACCGTCGATTCTATGTCAGCACCAACGTCGAAGACTTCGATCAGCATGTTGAGGAGGGCCCGCTCAACAAGAGGGCTTGGGTGCTGCAGGAGAGGTATCTGGCCCGGCGCACCCTCCACTTTGCTGCCGGTCAGGTATACTGGGAGTGTGGCGAAGAGATGTACTGCGGGAACCTTGCCCAATTATCAAGGTAAGAGCTGTAGCGTGTTTTGTAGTCACGATAGGATCTTCCTAACTAACCTGTTCCTAATCTCAGGCCGAGAATCGGACGAGGCTTGGTGTCCGATCCGTACTTCCCGTCCGAGCTCGTCACCTCAGGCACCTTCCGAACCTGGCATTTCATTCGATCTCTTCTTAAGGACTACTCTCAGCGCAAGCTAGGGAATCCGAGTGATCGACAGTATGCAGTATCTGGGCTAGAAGAGCGTATTGCACGCGTTCTGGAATGCGGCAGCAGTTACGGCATCTTCGAGAAGTACCTCCACAGGAACCTGCTGTGGTATCCGGCACCGCGTAACAGCACTAGAACAGAGTGTGTTTCGGTCAATGACGACACTCACAACATACCCTCCTGGACGTGGATGGCGTATAGTAGAAGCATCGAGTTCGTGAATATACCTTTTAGTGAAGTAGATTGGATCAAGCATGACCACCTCCAGTTCAACAAGGAGCGCAATATTGTTGTAGCCGCTAGCCTAGGAGAGATTAAAGACTGTACAACAAGACGTTGCGAAAACTGTACGGCAAGGCCTTGCGAGAAGAGGCATGTACTTGTAGGTGCTGGTGGAGAGACAGGGTGGGTCCAGTACGACTTCGAGGGCGACGAAGAGCCCAACACCATCCAATGCGTGGTCATAGGCAGCGAGACAGCGAAGGATACTAGTCCCGGTCAGTACTATATCCTACTTGTTAGACCGACTAGTACAGAGGGCCAGTACAAGAGGGCTGGAGTAGGGCAGGTCGAGAGTGGTTGGGTAGCAAGACAGAGGAGGAGCATACTGTTGGTCTAGCGTGCAAACGACGTAAGCAGTGTTGGGCCAGAGGCTACGGCTACAATCGCAGATCCTCTATCGCATCTCTTCAGACTACGTGCTTAGGTGGAAGGGGTTAGGTTGACGAAACAGCTGTGGAGAGGCGCTGGAGAGGCGCTCGTGGCTGTGTAGTTCTTCTAGTGATCAGCGTCGCTGGATTGCCTAATCCACGTGTGGCGAGCAAGAGTGGAGCGAGCAAGAGTGGCTGGCAGGGGCTGACTGCTAGACAGCTTTCGTCATCTTCGGCTGTGGAGCATGTGGCTGGCAAAGCTAGAGCGGTTGAGGAAAGGCGTGCACTAAGCGAGACAGGGGTAGGCGTGGGATGACAGTTAAGCGGCGTGTGCAAAGCGGAAGCTGCAAGTGCATGGGAGTGTAATTGTATGTGCCACTGTAAGGTTCTCATTGTCGTGACGCTGCTGTTGCATCATCTGATGTGTCTATTGCTATGCCTTGTGGTGGCTATTCGCGCGGTTCTTGTGTCTTTCATTGAACGTTGCCGTAGCCGAGGCAAGAGGCCTTACACCTGTTTAGCATATTGGCTTTACGATTACTCGACGCGTCTTAGGGGAGCTAACAGTGTATGTCGCAGACTTCAGACAGATAAAGCAGCATGCTGACATTAAACACCTAAGTGGCAGGCTCGAGGATAGGGGAGTCGCGATTGGGTAGACAGAGGTTGCGAAAACATGGTTTACAGCATGCTGCACATTAATAGCATTTCGTTTTCCGCGTTAAAGCTGCTTGCTGGGGTCAGACTAATGCGTCGCTTAAGATGTTCTGGGTTGTTTTTGACGCTGTTGTCGCTGCGCTGCGTTTTGAGCCCCAGGATAGTTGGCGGCACAGAGTCCCTGTGCCTAGTGTGTCCTTGCACGAGCTAGCACGCGCTGCACAGACACCTTGACATCCTCTCACCGTGAACGACGGTCCGTAACTCGCGCTTTCTACACTATCAGATCGTGTTCTTAGGCAATAACTGCTTCTCGGTTTGCAGCACGGTGGCTGTCGCGCGATCATGCGTTTTCAGCCGTGCCCAGCCAGCCTCACGTCACGGCGCGTGCGGGCTGCGCCTCCTGCCCTGGGTGCTGGAGATGCAGCCTGCCCCAACAACGAGGAGGGCAGTCTTCCTCACCTCTACCTTAGCATTCGAAACGACCCTAACAGCTACGATCTCCACGCCTTACACGAGCGAGCCGCCGTGCGCCGTCGATACCGTCAGCCTGCTTCAAGGCCCCGAGGCCCCCTTCTACCACTCACGCGGACAAGCATACACAAGATCCGATGCGACTATTGTACACCGCAAGCGACGGGACGCTTCGATGGACGAAGGACATCATACGTAGCAAAGAGATTCCTCCCTATGCGATCCTCTCACACACCTGGGGTGAGCAGGAAGTGGTCTTCGATGATCTGAAAGACATCGAAAACGCACAACGCAAGGAGGGATATCGGAAGATTCGCTTCTGCGCGCAACAAGCTAAGCTTAATGGTCTGGACTACTTCTGGGTTGACACCTGCTGCATCGACAAGACGAACAGCCAAGAGCTTCAAGAAGCGATCAACTCTATGTTCTGCTGGTATCAGAAAGCGGAAAAGTGCTATGTCTTGCTTTCGGACGTCGAGAACAACTCATCAGGAGAGAGTGGCAGTTTGCGCCGAAGATGGAAGGCAGCGTTCAGGAAGAGCAGGTGGTTCAACCGAGGCTGGACGCTCCAGGAACTACTAGCTCCCCGCTCTGTCGAGTTCTTTTCGAAAGAGGGAGAGCTGCTAGGGGACAAGCAGTCCCTCAAAGACACTATCAGTGAGATTACAGGGATACCTAGCGAAGCTCTTTCAGGGAAGCAAGTGTCTGAGTTTAGCGTAGCTGAGCGGTTCTCTTGGGCAGAAGATCGCCAGACGACACGCGATGAAGATGGAGCATATTGTCTGTTCGGCATATTTGACATCCATCTACCGCTGATATATGGCGAAGGCAGAGAAAATGCACGCGATCGGCTCAGAAGTGCGGTTATTCTGAAGCACAAGGGCCGCAGTCACGACCAAGAAGAGAGGCTTGGCAAGATCTGCAGCTGGCTCTCGGCGCCTGACCCATCTACGAACTACAACAAAGCGCACAAGCAGCGGCAGGCTAATACAGGTCTCTGGCTGCTAGAAAGCGCCAAGTTTTCAGAATGGAAGGAGAGAACAGCGTCGCGACTGTGGCTGTACGGGATCCCAGGATGTGGAAAGACGATTCTGAGCTCTACCATCATCGAGAATCTGCTGCAATACTGCCACGATGACACTAACATAGTGACGGCCTACTTTTACTTCGACTTCAACGACACACAGAAGCAGGACCCAGAGCTCATGCTGCGCTCGCTGCTCTGCCAGCTTCTGCAGCGGTCGGTCGTGATACCCAAAGGCGTTGATGCGTTGTTCTCATCTTGCGAGAACGGGCAACGGAAGCCATCGTCGCATGCGCTTTTACAAGTAACAAAGGAAGCGGCGCAAGAATTCACCCACGTGTACGTTGTTCTCGATGCTCTAGATGAGTGTGCGCAGCGCTCGGAGCTGATGGACATGCTCGAAGCAGTGGCTGGTTGGCAGCTTAACAATCTGCATCTGCTCATGACTAGCCGGAAAGAGCGGGATATCGAGCGCTCCTTAGAGGAATACATCAGGGAGGAGGACACTGTATGTCTTCAAAGGGACGTAGTGGACAAGGACATACAGCGATACATCCAACAAAGGCTGCGCGTCGACAAGGGCTTGGCGAAATGGAACAGGGATGCCGTCGTCAGGCAGGAGATTGAGGACGCGCTAATGGGCGGAGCTCGCGGGATGTAAGTGTTTTGATTCAGTTCTCTGCTGAGCTAGAGCTGACGATAGCGTAGGTTTCGATGGGCTGTATGCCAGCTAGACACACTAGGAAAGTGTTGCAATCGAGCGATGCTGCGCAAATCTCTTGCTAGTCTGCCGCGGACGCTAGACCAGACATACGACCGCATTCTTACTGCGATAGGCGAGGAATATTCTGAGTATGCGATGCGTATCCTGCAGTGGCTGACGTTCTCTGCGCGGCCGCTGTCCGTCGAAGAGGTCGCCGAAGTCGTCGCCATCGACGTGGCGCGCGACCCAGCGTTCGACGGTGATGAGGTGCTAGAAGACCCGCTAGAAGTGCTGGACATCTGCTCGAGTCTAGTCACTATCACAACGAACGAAGTGGACAGAAGATCAGGGTCTGCTCAACGGATCGTTGCTCTAGCACACTACTCAGTGCAGGAGTACCTTGTGTCAGACAGGATCAGGCAAGGGTTAGCAAAGCAGTACAGCATGCAAGAGGCCGCATGTCAGAGCGCAATAACGAGAGGTTCTTTAAAGTACCTGATGCAGCTCCAGCAACCATTAAAAAGAGAGACACTTCACGTGTCTGCACTTGCGAGGTACTCAGCAGAATTTTGGAGCAGCCACCTTCGAAAGACAGGAGACGAGGTAGAACAAGCCAGTCAGCTGGCGGCGAGTTTAATGGCCAAGGAACAGCCTGCATATCTCACCTGGATCCGGTTGCATGATCCAGACCGTCCTTGGGAGGAGCCAAATCTGGAAAAAAGCGATGATAACATACCCATGCCACTCTACTACGCCGCATTGTTAGGCTTTAGCATAGTTACAAGACTGCTGCTCGATGCGGGCGCCGATATCAACGCGCAGGGTGGACACTACGGCAACGCACTGCAGGCGGCTTCATACAGAGGCCACGAGCAGGTAGCCAAGACGCTGCTCGACGCGGGCGCCGAGGTTAACGCGCAGGGTGGACACTACGGCAACGCACTGCAGACAGCTTCATACAGAGGCCACGAGCAGGTAGTCAAGACGCTGCTTAACGCGGGCGCCGAGGTCAACGCGCAGGGTGGAGTCTACGGCAACGCACTG